CAACATAGAAGTTGTAGAGTATGTTACAAGCTTTCCAAAATTTCCAATAACTCATTGAGATCATATTTGAGCAAGGAGAATCGAAGGCAAGAAGTTAGAGTTTCATTCTTGAATTACATGTCATTTCTTGATGAACACATAATTCAATCTCATTGTTAGGCTGCATAATCTTGCTTTGCAGGCCTTCTAACTTGTGTATTTATCCATCATTAATTGATTACACAAACGTTTGAGCTATAATCCAAGTGGTTTAAGCTTTATCCAATTCGAATTTCCATTTTTGGAAGAATGTGAATAATGCCATTCTTGAAAAGCAAGCTTTATGCACAAAGTCAATTCTTGAGCCTCTAACTTGTTCCCTCTGATCACTCTCCATCTACAACATCAAAAGGATGTTTGTTTAAAGCATAACCACTCTACGTTAGCAAGTACACAAGACATTGAAACTTGATTTCTCAAAAATCACATGTTATGCTTAAACATGTGATTTTGAATTCTGATCAGATATAAGCTTCCAAACTTGTTGCTTATAAATAGAGGCACTAATTGTGAGCTAACACACGAGCATTAACACCCTGAAAAACTCCCAAACTCCCTCAAGCCAGAAACTGTCCAAAAACACCATTGTTGCATAGGTTTTGACCTTGAACTTGCAACTCTTATTTCCCTCGTGCTTTTCATGGCTTTTCACTTCCTAAAGCTTCCTTACATCAAATACAACTCATCCCCATCCTTATTCCAGAACTGTAACACCATTTACCATAACCTCCATAACCAAAAAACAGAGTCTTCACATTGACTTCTCCAAGCCATTCCAGCCATCCATTATTGAAACTAATCATTGCATTAACTTCCTGGGAACTTGAGGAAGCTAACTTGGTCATCACAACAACTTGAATTAAGCTCTAACTCAAAACACGATCTCCAACTGCATGGTGAGTTTTCTTACTTTTCATCTCATTATTTAGGCATTGTTAGGCTTGTATTTTCAAAGACAAAATGTAGATATCATTGCCCTGAAATTGTACATGTCCATAGATTTCATTTATATTGCTTGAGTAGTGAGAATTTTAAGTTTGCACTTGCTGAAATAATTAGGTCGGAATTTGGTACTTTTAGAAATTCTCATTCATCTTTGATTTATAGCTTTAGTTATTTATATGGTTGATTTCATGAGAAAAAATGGAACAACTTTCATGTTTGCATATTTCATTTTTGTTGAGAAATGCTGAAGTTACAGGATCCATGGCTGGAGGTTGAAGATGAAGTCACATTTAGGACATAACTTGTGTTATGTATTTATTATTTTGTCAATGTTATCGGATGTACAGTCACCCCAGTGGCAAAGGTAGCGCGTGTGTGTATTGGAGGTCATGGGTTCAACACCCAGCGCTACCTTTAATGAAATTTTTCAACATTTTTCATTCTTTTTTTTCCAGCTGCAGCGCCTGGGCCCTTATGTTGGGCCTTACATTTTTTGCTGATCTCTAACCCTCGTGCTTTACTTTTGCACCTGGCCCAAATTTATTTTATTTATTTCATTTTTATTTATTTCTTTTTCTTATTTTATTTTATTTCAGTTTTATTTTTATTTTTTTTATTTAGCATTATTATTATTATTTTTTTATTATTAAAAAATATAAAAATATTTTTATTTATTATTTACACTTATATATTTTTTTCTTTATAAAACAAAAAGAATAAAAAAACATTTTCTTAAACAAATTAATTTCTTTTTCCTAAACAATAAATATTTAGACTTAGGTTTAATTATTATATTATTTTCTTTTACATTAAAATTAACTTAGAATTTATGTTTCTTTTAACTATTAATTTTCATATTATTTTCATTAAGTTAAAATCTTTTCATAAAAAACCTAAAAAATACCTTTGAACTTAATTTCTTTCTAAATTAATTTAGGTTTAAATTTTATTTATTTTTAATTAATCATTCTCTCTAATTACGTCAAAACTAAACCCTTTCATAAAAAACCAAACAAAAATTATTTCTTTTCCATTTATCCTTGTACATTATTTATTCAATTCTTGTATATTATTCAATATGGTTGTAATAGATAATTAGGTTTAATTTTCTTGCAAAACCCCCATTTGTAAATTTGTACACCCCTCCCCTAATGATGTAATAGCTTAATAATTTTATTGTCCGCAATTTATCGCTTTATATAAATGCTAGTAAATTAGGATTTGTGTGGAAAGATAAAATCAACAAGTTAGCAAACCCTAATTCAAGATAATCAATGCATGTAAATCAAACACACTTGCACACTTTCACCCTTAGGGTAATTCAACTTTGTTGCCTTACAAAAATGGTCATGTTATGCATATGGGGTATCTTAGCAAAAACAATAAAAAAATACAAGATCATAGTCCCTCGATGACGCTATCAATGTTGTCTTTCAAAATAATCTTAGTCCCTCAAAGAAAAATGCTAAGATATCTCACAACATTGCTATCATGGCCATACGATGACCCACGCCCGTCCCTTTACATCCAAAGATAGGGCTTCTCACCAATCAATGGTAAGATAGCAATATCAAAGGAAAGGAAGAAATGAACAAAGACTTTTGAGTAGGTAGATTGTTCCTAGTTGCTTGCTCATTTTCAAATCAAACATCCTTGCTTATTTTCAAAACAAACACCAAACACTTTCAAAAAAACTTTCAAAATATTTTCCAAACATGAAATATTTTCAAAAGCTCAACACTTTGTATACGTTCTTACGAACGAGGACTATTACAAAGTTTACCTAAACGAATGCTCCTTTTCAAAATACTTTTAAAACCACACAAAGCACATCTTTCAAACAAAAGCAAGTGATCTAGCAAGCAACTAAGAGCCTATAGATAACTATGGATGAAAAGAGTGCTAACACCTTCCCTTTTCATAACCTACCCCCCGAACTCAAGAAATAATCTCAAAGGTCTTTCCTGTTCTTTTCAGCCTTTCCTTTTGGATAAAAGAAAAGTCAGTGGCGTCTCTTGTTAACCGCAACATTTGCGATAAAATGCAAAATATCCAAGTCAGTTCTCCCACCATATCATAATACCAATAGAAAAATATTATATGTAGTAGTGAAGCTGAATAAAATTCTAGATTTGGCCAATAGGAAAAGAAGAGAATGCTTGATGTTAAAGGTTTACTTTGAAAAGGAATACAATTATGTGTCTTGGAATTACTTGAGGTATATGATGAGAAGACTAAGATTTGAAGATAAATGGATGTTATGGATAAAGACTTTTATATTTGAAACTACCTATTTAGTACTAGTGAATGGTAGCCTAACCAAGGACTTTAGGGGAAGTAGAGGATTGAGGCAAGGGGACTCTTTGCCTCGATTTTTAATTACCATAGCAGTTGAGGGAGTAACAGGATTGATAAAGAAAACTTCACGGATGTGACAATTTAAGGGATTTAAAGTTAATAAAGAAGTGGAATGCCAAATACTATAATTTGCAGACTAAGTTATATTAGTTCGGGAGAGCTCTTGGCAAAACCTATGGTGCATCAAGGCATTCATGAGAGAATTTGAACTAGTATTTGGCTTGAGAGTTAACTTTTGCAAAAGTAAACTTTATAGTCTAAATACAAAAGAGCACTTCATGGAGAAAACCTCACACTTCCTTTCATGTTTATTGGATAACATTCTATTCAACTTTTTAGGTATATTGGTATGTTCAAATCTTATAAAAGTAGCCACATGGAGACCAATCATAGAAAATATGAGGAAAAGTTGACTTCTTGAGAAGGGGGACTTCTGTCAATTAATGGGAGGATTACTCTGTTGAACTCAACTCTAAACAAGATTTCCATACATTTGTTTTCTTTTTTTCAAAGAACCAAAATAGATTGTAAAAGAAATAACATAGATCTAGGATGACTATTTGTGGTTTGGAGCTAAAGACAAGAAATTAATCAAGTGAGAAAAATGACTAGAATATGTTTGTAAAACAAAAAGAGGGGGGCTATGAGTAAAAAAATGTTGACTAAAAAAGATTCCATATGATATACAACTATTTGAAGTGCTTCAATCTCGGTTTGCAATTATACGTGCTCTAATGCGTTCTTGGCATGTGGAAACCCTCCAACATATCATATATCCTTGCATCATATTACACAATATGAGTGATGAATACGAAAGACAAACATATAAAGGTGATTTTGATTACTTATCATTGATAACAACATCTCAACATCTGAAATATTTTACGATCCTCATATGAATTTTGCAACAAGACTACAAAGTAGAGCAAGTCTTCGTAAAAATTAAATTCATCGACAATTTCAAATAAATCTAGTTGTATATATAAGAGAACATTATAGATATGAGGATGACGAAATTTAAATTTCACTAATTATGTGAAGTTATTTATTTTTATTATTCTTAATTATATATGTCATATATCTAAAATTAATTTTAATTATTGTTAAGTTTGATTTGATTTAATTATTATTTTGTTTTATATAAATATTATTTTAATTAATTTAAATTAATATTTTTGTTAAAATAAATTTAATATAAATAAAATATTCATATATGATGTAAAGTTTTAAGAGTTAATATAAATTTAAAATGACATGGTTTTTGGATCCGCGAAAAAACTTAAAGATGAGCTGCACTAATTAGTTTATAAGACTTTGTTTATTTTTAAAAAATTTATAGAATAAGAAAATTTTGACTGAACTAATTAAGCGATGTTAGAAGGATGTTTCTCTCTTTCAATTTATTGAATTGGTCATGTTTTAGTGAGATATGGGTCGCCCGTGAATATGGGTGTGTAATGTGTTTGTAGTTAGTCCAAGGTATTGCTATTCCAATTTTTCAATATTCAAAGCCATCACAGTCAAAGAAAACCTATAATCAACTCAACTCCACTTCCTATATAAATCAGTTCTGTCTCTTCTCCTTCCATCAAACCAAACATATTTCACATACATATTTTATCATATAAAAATTGACTCAAACAATTATACATACATACATGGCTTTCTCTTATAGAATGTCCCTTTTCAGAGTTCTGCTCCTTGTACTAATCATTTTTGTGACATCTCAATTAAGAGTAGATTGCAGGCCATTATTCATACATTATCACCAGCATGGCCTTGTTTTGCAATCTCTTCCTAACGGTGTTGCACCTGGTTCATCAGGAGATCACACTCATCCATAATGAAGCTCCAATTATATTCTCCTTTCAAATTTATTCAAGTTCTACGTGGCAGTGGGCAGGGTTGCATCAATTTTTTTAATTTTTAGTTGCATGTCTCACATGCAAATTTTTTTTTCACATGGTATTCTTTATATTCTTGTATTCACATTCAATTTCATTCATCTCATATGAATAAAATTGAGTTATAATGTATTCTTTTAGGTTGTAGTATGTAACATTTTACCAAAATCTAAATAAGTGCCTATTTCAATTTGGTGCATAAATATTTGTTTGAAAAGGATTCACTTTTGTAAGCAAAAAAATGCATACCAGAAGAAATAAAAATATTTGGCATATATCTAGAGAGGAAATATATAAAATCTATCATGATTCTCTCGCTTATTTTACCAAAAGAGTTTCACATGTTGCAAGTCAATAAAAGCGGAAGACAAGAAAAACACGAAATCAGGAAATAAGACATAGATCAAAGACAACTACTCATTATCGCTGTTACCATCGACATGAGACAAAAATTTTGATTATTATTTTCCAACCTTTATGGCTCATACTCGAATTATTCATTAACAACTCAGATCCTTATCTCTCTTAAAAGAGTTTTTCCTATTTGAACGGGAACCAGGTTTGAGATTTCTAGTTTCCAAGGTAACACTGATTTAGGTGATTAAATGTTCATATGGTAATCATGCTTAATTATTCCTTTTGCACTCCATCATGGTGCACATTACACCATATGTCCAGTTGGTTGTAATATTTTGAATGAGCAGCCACATGACCATCACATCTTCATTTAAAATCTCTTCACAATTGTTCTTTTTTGGAAAAAGCATATGAGTCACTGCATGGTGTATGAATCAGTACGATGCCTTTAAAATATTTATTTTTATAGGTAACTTGCAATTTTCCATATAATTGATGAGAAGACTCCTAATAGCAACCGATTTTTGAAGGTTTGGGATCCATAAGGTGTTGTAGGGTGTAAAGTTAAATTCTCTATTTTAGCCTCTATTAGCTTGTTTAGGACTTGAATGATATTGGGCTCACAATTTCTTTTTGCATCTCCTCCTTATTTGATTTTACAACCCTCTTTTACAAACTTCATTTCTCAAGCAATATATTAGTCTTTGAATAATTTAAATGGATTGGACAATTTTACACTTATTAGAGAAATAACTGGAGTTTTCTGAGTTTAATTTTTTACCAAGTGTTTTACCTTTAATCCTCTGAAACTTTTGAGGAGAGATTTCTCCCCCTTCGACAGATATGAAATCAAGATTTTTTTTATATGAGAGATGATCTTGAAAACTATTTCTTCTTTGGTGAGATATCTTCCAATAAACTTTTTTCTCGATAACTTTCTTGATAAAGTTATTTTAAAGAATTCCTCAAACATTTATATCAATTTTTTAAGGAATCTTAGAATTCATGATTTGCACAATTTTTCTTGATTTTAATTTTAATCCTTGAAGTTACAAAAATATCCCTGCAAAACCAATCAAATTTTTACCTTTAGTACTCAAATCTTTTTTGGTCCTTTAGAGTTAGTAGATTTAAGATGTCTTGACTCGTACCTGTAGCGGTAGAAATGTTGAGACTAAGCCATTGGATTGACTTGACTCGCACAAATCAAATAAAAATCATCACCGCGCTTTATTATTTTCAGAGGAATGAGAAAAGAGTGAATAACCTAAAAAAGAGGGGGGATAGAATCTTAGGTACGGGGTTGGTTATACAAAAGAAAGGTATTGAAGATGTGAAAAACACAAGAAGGGGGGGTTGAATTGAAAAACTTGGATCTAAAACAGCTTAATGACACAGTATTTTTATCCTGGTTCGTTTGATCTCAAACTACTCCAGTCCACCCGTCAAGGTGATTTCCCCTCTCTCCAACGAGGTCTTAACCCACTAATCTCAAAAGATTACAACAGCTACTTTAACAACTGTTAAAATCTTCTTGAGTACAACCACAATCCGGTTAATCTCAAGGAATTCTTTTACAATATAATTGAACAAGAATGTGTTATTGTTTTCTAACAAAACAGTTTATCACAACTGTGATAATTTACACAGGTTAAGCTTAGAGTATAGAATGAATTTGCTTGAGCTTGAATATGCGTGGTTGGAGTTCTTAGCAAATTGTTGTGTGCGTACGTACGTGCTTCTTTGCAAGCAGATTTGTTTATATAGGCAAGGCAAAGACGTTGTCCATAAAACAAGTTTAATGTTAATAACACACTTTTCTTTTGGAGAAGATCTTGTCTGAAGAAAGCCGTTGGTATTAATTCTGTCTTGAATGATCAGTAACGCTTCAGAGTCTTCTTTGCTTAACTGTTGATGACGCTTCAGAGTATTGATGACTTGGTTGATATGTCTTTGATTAGAATAAGAGTTTATTGTAATTGAGCGCAGATTCTTGTCACCAATCTTCAGCATATAATCTGATTGCTTCAGCGTGTAATACTTTATTGCTGATCTTCTGATGCTGATTTTGATCAGAACTTCTACATACATAAAACATATTTTTAAGGAGCATATTTGTTCTATGTATTTATATTCTTTGTATTTATTTATTCTTTGTATTTGTTATCATCAAAACTCTAACCAAGGATTGTAGAATCAAACTATGTTTTAACAATCTCCCCCTTTTTGATGATGATAAAAACCAGTTTTTTCAATTAAAAATAAAGAATAAAAAGTATAGAATAAAGAAGAAAAACTCCCCCTGAGTTGATTACTTCCCTTAAATTCTTTGAGTCTTTGAGCATCAGAATTTAACTGCGTCTTTCATCAGAGTTTTGTACCTGTTCAAGCTTTTCAGAAGAAAGAAGTTAAGTAGTTTAGAATGTTTGAGACTTCTGTCTCAGTAAACCGTTATTAAAAATATCTTACTTTCTCCCCCTTTTTGCCAGTTATCAAAAAGACTATATAATCAGAGTTAAAAAGGATTTATATTAAAAATAAGAAGCAATGATAAGAAGTTCATAACAGAAGCAATGTAAAACAAAACGTTACAGATAAACAGATTTTAGAACAAAAGAGAATCTAAGAGGGAGGAGGAAGGCGTGTGAACAAAGCTTCCAGCAAGCCCTTGATCTGGGTGTTGTTTTCCTCTTGTTTGCTCAAAATGCTCTTGATTTCTTTGTTTCTATCATCCTGCTTATCCAACCTTTCCTGGATAACAACATTTGCTCTCTTCAATTTTTCCAGAGTTTTCCTTTCATAGGAAGGAGCTTGAGAATCTTCAGTTTCTGGACGCTTCTCAGAGTATTCTGCAACTTGATCATTTTGAACCAATTCCTCTGCTGCGATCATCTCATCTGGAGCAGCAGTCAGAGTGAGACCTTCTGATTCTGGTTGAACTTTGTCTGATGGACGATATTCTGACCAGGGAGAATTATCCAAAGGGAGAATCTCTTCCTTGAGCAGTTGGCTCAGAACTTGGTCTTCAAAAACCTTTAGCAGATTACTGAAATTCTGTTGAACCTGTCCATAGCTCTGTTCTTGCAGCTTATGTGTTTCAGAACTTATACATTTTCTGAAACTTGTCCCTAGATAATCTGAAGCAGCAGGGTTAGTCATCTCTAGACTAGCTTGCTTCAAGGAGGTTATCCATTTCTGCATTTCTGTTTCAAACATCAATAAACTAGTACCAACATCTGGTGTGGTTTCAAATGGTGTTGGTTTTGGAATGGCAGTTTTGGTTTTGTGAGATATAGCAGCTAGACGTTCAAAAATAGTTGGATCAATGACAAATCTTACGTTTTCAGTTGGATTGCTCTTTGGTGAGGGAGTGGGAGAGTGTGGTATAATTATTGGACTTGTTGGGGAATTTGGTGGTGTTGATTCTAGAGAAGAAGGAATTTGTGGAATGTCTAGGATGGTGAGGGGAAAACGGATGGCCAGAGGTTCAGTGATTCCTGGAATAGGGATTGTATCTGAATCTGAAGTAGGTTTTTCAGATTGGTTGGATTGAACATTGTGAGGTTCTGGTTCACAGGTCTCAAATGGTTGGTTTTCAGAATTTTGAACTTCTGGTTGTGATTGTTCAGGTTGTAAAGATGGTGGATGAGGAATATCTTATTGTGGAGAGTGAGGTAGTGGTATTTCTAGTTGAGGAGAGAGAGGAATATCTGGTAGTGGAATATCTGGTTGTGGAGCTTCTGTTGTAGTTTCGGAGTTTGGATTATCTGGGATTAGAGGATTTGGATTTTCTGGTGTGGGAGCTGAAATATCTTGGTCAAAAGAGTCAATGTCTATACACCTTACACCACCACCATTGTAACCTATCAGTCTTGCAATTAGGTCTTCAGTAATGACTATCTTCTTCCCCATGACATACGAAGTGACTTAATGGTTTGAGGATGAAGCATGAATCCAGAATTCTTTGACAAGAATTGGAAACGTTGGACCTAGAAGACGGTCAAAATACCTGTTCCATCCTTGAGCATTGACCTCTTCAGAGAGATTGAATCCATTTTCTTGAAGACTTTCAAAATCCACAATCAGTTCTGAAAGAACTTCCAGGTTGTCAGTGGGCGTGAGTAGAGTTCTGTATGGTTCTTCGTACTGTTCCATAGATTCAGTTCCCTGAGCACTGGTGTTTGGGACGCTTGAAGAAGCCATGTTCATACAAGAAATTTGAGAAAGATGAAAGGGTTTTTGAAAGTACGAACTGAAAGCAATTAGAATGTATTGAGAGAGTAAAAGTGAAAGAGTGTAAAGAGTGAAACTTGCGTTTAAATATATTTTTGAAAACATAAACTGTAAGAGAGAGAAATAATTAGTAATGATTATAAGCATTAATGACAACTGATTTTAGGGGATTCAGAAAGATATTGGAACGGTTACCCATGACATGTGTCTCAATGCACCTAATCAGCGCTTTTGACCTTTCAGAAAAGTGAACGCATGTTCAGCCTCAGAAGGTAGCTGATGAATGGATGACAACTGTTTGCTTACATAAATAGCACACTTCTATCCTTAAAATGAAATGCTCAGATCTT